TCAACACACTGTGACTGAGATAACAGGGAGAACCTATCAAACGATAGAATAACCAGCAAAGGAAAGAAGATTATACAGAAAGAAAAAGAATACCAAAATACTATTAAAATTAAAAATGTCAGAAAAGTGAGAAAAAGATAATACAAATTTGCAGTAACTTGCAGGCTCAAAAAAAGGAGGGGGGCAGAAGATGGAATGCAGGAGAGATAAATTTGGAGTGGAAGGAATAATACTAGGATGGAAGGAAGAGAAACATAAGGAATTGAGAGACACAAAAATAATAAGAATTAGAAAATAAAAAGTCACTTAAAAACAGGATAAAATCAAACGATCAAACAACAACAACAGCCAAAAAAAATCCAAACTTCTTGTTGGTTTCTAACTGGCCAAACCAGTTTTTCTGGTCTTGCTGTCTTCAGCAGGCTGAGGGGAGATTGGAATGCTTTTCACTCTTCCCCATCAGAACTCAGTCAGTCTCTTGCATAGTGTCCCCAGGGCTAGCAGCGCATTCTCCCGAGAGCCTATCCCATGCCTTCCCACAGGATCCTGGGTGTGGGTATGGGCGCTTCTGAGCAAGCTCTCCGGAGCTCACTGCCGCAGTCTCCTGGGCTCCGGGGCCCTGCAGAGCTCCTGCATTTTTTCCAGGTTCACGGTACAAGCTCCCGGGATTGCAAAGGGTCGCGCCCTTCCCCCAAATTTCACCTCTACAGGTGAAAGCAGGCTCTGTGTTCTCGGGAAGCACCCGAGTCTTATCTGGATTCACTTTGCAAGCTCCAGAGATGGAGAAGGGGCAAGTACTTCCACCAGTTTCCCTGCTGCAGGCTCCAGGAATCTGAGAAGCTCTGCATCCTTTCCAGGTTCACAGCGCAAGAGTTGGGAATCCCGAAGGGGCATGTGCTACCCCGAGTTTACCACGGCAGGCTCCAGAAACCCGCGAACACCCGTGCCCTTTCCTTGTTCAGGGTTGTAGGGTCTGGGTCTTCCACAGAATCACACTCGGTATTACCGGGCTTGGGGCACGGGCGCACAGCCAGGCCGCCCTTGGTCTCACAGGCTGGTGGCACTCACCCATCCTAGGGCTGTGTGTGGGTGCTTGCAGCCCTTGTGTGATTGTCTCCCAGTCCAACTCCCCTCTCTGTGCCGTCAAGCCACAAGGCCTCCCCTGGTGCTGCTCAATCCTTGTTGTCTGGGGAGGGAGCAGTGACTCTGCTCTCCCAGGTGCCCTGAGGCAGACCCAGGAGCACCGGGCCTGGGGGCTGCAACCTGGTCCCAGCGCTGATCCCTGGGTCCCTGTTGTCCTGAAGCAGTCTCCTTACCATCTGATTTTTCAATGTCCGCTGTAATTTTTGATGTCCTGTTTTCATAAATGTTTCGGTAACCTAGGCCCCTTGCTCTGTTCCCCTGCAGATCCACAAGTTTCTTTCCCCTGCATAGAGGAAAGGGATTACGCTCCCTCCAACAAAGCCATCTTCCTTCTCCTAAATCTGTTATTAACATAATTTTTGTTCATTTCTGATAGAGTTACCATGAAAATATCCCTTATGTGGATATGCATATAAGTATGCATATAATAATTATGTTAGTTTGGACATAGTACATGTGTCATGTAGAGAATTAGAAAATAGAGACAATCAAAACATAAGAATATAAAGTGTCCTATTTGTACCACCCAAATACTACTATTGTTAACTAGCTGTAGTGTATGTGTGTATAGGATCTCTGTATGCACACACATACATCCATCTATTATGTAACTAAAATGCAGTCATTCAGTAACAGTGTTGTCTACTTATTTTCTTTGATTTTTAAAATTGTGTCTCAGTTCTCTTACCCAGAAATTTCCTAATTCCAAATATTATTAGTATAATTATTTACTTGCTTTATCCTGTAATCTCAAATAACAGTACATATTATAACAATTAGAATTGCTAAACTACTAAAATCTCTTCATGCTTCTTTTGGTCTTTAGAAAACTACCCACATGGAGTGTGCAGTAAAAACATTGGTTTCTAAATGTTTGAATTAGTACATTACTAATAAAGCTGGTTTTGTTGTTAGATGATACTTTAAATTTAAGAAATTTTTGTAAATTATTTTTAAGAAGGTAATTTATATAATTCAGGAGTCAAAAATTTTGATAAAAGCACAGAAAGTCTTGCTTTCAATCCTGCTCCTTTCCTGTGTGGATGTGTGTATGTTTTAAATATGTGTGTGTATATTTTTGAATAATATACTTATTTAAAATATATGTATATATACCACAGTCATTTTGTAAGATGAGCTTAAATTATCCTGTATTAAGGTATACATTTGCACAACTACTTTGTGATAGTTAAATTTCTGTCTTAACTATATATGTAAATTAACAAACATGATTATAGACACCAACAGTGGGGGACACCCCCCAAAAACAGAATTATCTTCAGGAGGGTGGCCCCTTGCAGTACGGGCTTCCCCAGCTAGGTGAGTGTTCTAGGAACCCATCCGTATCAGTGTATCAACTGACATTGTTGTAAGAGACTGCGTTCAGCTTCAGTGCATTTTTTTTTGAAGATTCTTTCCATGTGTTTGCCAATTTCATGATGAGGAATTTACGAGTGCACCTGCCCACACTGCCCTGAGTGTTCAGCAGTTTTTGACCAAAAATGGCATGACCCTCATGCCTATCCTCCCTATTCACCCAGTCTCACCCTGAGAACAACTTTATTTTGTTTCCCTGGATGAAAAAAGTCCTCAATGGGAAACATCTTGCCAGTGTGGAAGAGGTGAAACAAAAAATGGCAGAAGCACTAAAAGGATTCAAAATCAACAGGTTCAAAAACTGTCTTGAGCAGTGGAAAAAACATCTCATAGGTGTATTGTATCAAATGGAGAGTATTTTGAAGGTGACTGAAGTTTAAACATTTAAGAATAAATGCACAATTTTTATAAATAAATTCTGTTTTGGGGGGGTCCCCCTTGTACATAAATTTAACTAGAGGGTTTGGGAAGAAGAAAGGCCTTACAGGTCAGTTTGGGGCACAATGAGGTCTTTACGATACCAACTCTTCTAGTCAATAAACATGACCCAGCTCTCCATTTCCTTGAGTCATTTGTAATTTCTCTCAGGTTTCTCTTAGCAGAGTTATTTAGTTTTCTGTGTTGTGGTCTTGAAAAACTTTTTTTGTTGGGTTCATTTGTAGGTATTTAATACTTTTGATGTTATTATACATGGTACAATTTTTAGCTCTGGTGTTGGTTTGATATAGAAATATAAATGGTTTTGGCTGTTGACCGGATACCCAACAACCTTGCTGAATTTACCTATTATTTCTAACTTGTTATTTCTAGTGCTTATCTGTGTAGTCTTTGACCCAGAGTAGATCATCTTTGAATGACATTTCATTCTGTTTAATCCTTATACTTGTCATGTTTCTTTCTTGCCTTGTGGTATATCATCCAGGGACTGTGGTTCAGCACAGGACAGAAGTGACTGTAGCCTTCCTCCTCATTCCTGATTTCAGGGGAGAATTTTCAGTGTTTCACTGTTAGGTTTATAGCTGCTGCTATCAGATGAAGAGAGTTCACCTTCATTCTTTCTTTTCTGAGAGATTTATTTTTAATCATGAATGTGTATTACATTTTATTGAATACTTCTTTTCCTCTGCTGAAATAAACATAAGTTTAACTCCTTTATTGTATAAGGTGGTAAATTATACACTGATTGATTTTCAAATATAAAACCTACCTTGAATTCCTGGAATAAATTCATCTTATTCATAAATTATATATTCATAATATATTTTTCAGAATTCACTGAACCTTCTATTATTTCTCATGGAATTTTTGCATCTATGTCCCTGAGGGCTATCAGTCAATTATCTTCTTGTGATTTCTTTTTCTGGTTTTGGCATCAGGGTAATGCTGGCCTTATAAAAATGAGTTGTAAAGTTTCCTTCCTCTTCTCTGTCCTGGAAGAGACAGTAGATGTTATTTTTTCCTTAAACATTGGGAAGAATCAAAAGATTTTTTGCTTGTTAATTTTGACCCCTACTTTGTACTATATACAAAACAAGTCCAGATGGAGAGTTGAATGAAATGTGAAGGCAAAACAATAAACTGTCTAGAGAGAGCAGTGGACAATAGTTCCATGACCTTTGGAGGGAACCAAGGGGCTCCCGTGGCACCCATGGTCTGCGCCTCCCTCTGTAAGGGAGTTACAGCGTGCACCCAGTGTGTAAGCCCATGTCCAGTTCTACACTGAGGCTGTCTGTGCTTGTCTGAATGTGTGTCATACTTAATCTGCTATTCTATTATTCTACCTGTTTTATTGGATAGTTCTTGTTTTATTCTCTCATTTGGAGTTCAACAAAACAGCTATACATCCTGCACTTGTGGGAATTGTATGACAGAAAGATGCAGTTTTTCAAGTCATTCATAGTTAAGTTCCATTCATTTATGTAAGCTCCACTACATTAGAATGTTTTTAAGAGTTCAAGCATGACCTGTGTGATATTTTTATTAGAAAATAAAAAATATTTTTTGTGAACTCATTGAGGCTTTCTTAAATTAACAAAGCTCAGTTTAAAAGTGCTTTGTAAACTATGAGCATTATCAACATATGCTTTTTATTTCTACATCTGTATATTAAAAGGATGTTGTATTTACATACATTACATATGTGTGATGGTCAATCTCAAAATGTTATAGGATTCCATTTATGTCATAGTTTGTGAGGTCTATTTGAAAATTATTTAAATATTCTGTTGTATTTAGGCTTTCTACTTGGTTGGGATATTCCTCAGCTCCACCTCCTACCTCTTTATTTTTAACTAATGAAGTGTCACTCTCTTTGTCTATAAAATGACAGAACATTGTTGGAAAACTAGTCATTGTAGCAGAGTTTCTTAATATACATTTCCATTCTGTTGCTTTTATTTGTATAACCCTATTTTTAGAAGATGTTTATCTGGAAGTGAGACACTTTGAAAAGTGTCTTAGGCATTATGTTTCTTTTGCAGAGGTGCAAAAACAGTAGCGGTGAAAATCCTGAAAAATGAGGCCAATGACCCAGCTCTAAAGGATGAACTGTTAGCAGAAGCCAATGTCATGCAGCAGCTAGACAACCCTTACATTGTGCGTATGATCGGGATCTGTGAAGCTGAGTCCTGGATGCTGGTCATGGAGATGGCAGAACTTGGTCCACTCAATAAATATTTACAGCAGAACAGGTATCTTTAGGGACCCCTGAAGTTTATACTACGAGGTGCAGGGCCCACCGGCTGGTGCACATAATAGTCTGTTTCTTTGGGAAGCCTCTATCCTCCCATGCTGTCCAAGAACCTTGCATGAGGAGGGGAGATAGTTTTAGTCTTTGGATCAAGTGTGTGGGGTTTTGTTTGTTTGTTTGTGTTTGTGTTTGTGTTTGTTTTGCTTTTCTTGGAAAAAAACTAATATCAAAATTTGGTTTTCATTCTCCTTTATTCACTCTGTATTGGCCCACTGACAGAATCAGCACTATCTTGGTGGTCAGTATCACCTCACTAGGAAAAACCTGCTTTTCCCAAGAAATATTTAATAAACATTTTATAGGGCATAGCAGTGATGACTTACTTGTCTGGCTGACCTCTACATTCCCACAAGTAATTCTGAAAACATCTGTGGCTGTGCTCTCCTCTAAAGCCATTGCCGAAATGGAAGAACTGGTGTGAAATACTCATGGGAATCGCCACTGGTTACTTAATCCCATTTGCTACATTATGTTTATACTTTACTTAGATTGTGTCTCCATAACAGGAAAGTGTTACCCCAACTTCAGAGGTAAAAAACTGAGGCTCAGGGTTGGATTTGTTTCCTGTCCAATTTTGGAGCAAGGATTCTGACTGAAGCCTGGCTTGCCTTGAGCCAGGTCTTACCACCCTATTACATTGCTTTTCATTGCAATGAAAGTAAGCCTTGAAAACTGGACCAGTTGAACACTGGGAGATTGGTGTCTACTTTTGAACAGCTGTAAGTTAACAAGGTTATTTGTCACTGCTTCTGAATCTTGCTTAAGAAGAATAGGAAGTGAGTGGACTTGCCTTCTGTCTCTGTGAGGAGCACAGTTGGTTGTTCTGAAATGGACTACTATCCAGCATCACTAATGACATACTTGACTTGCAGGCATGTCAAGGATAAGAACATCATAGAGCTGGTTCATCAGGTTTCTATGGGAATGAAGTATTTGGAGGAGTGCAATTTTGTGCATAGAGATCTGGCCGCAAGAAATGTATTGCTGGTTACTCAACATTATGCCAAGATCAGTGATTTTGGACTTTCCAAAGCACTTCGTGCTGATGAAAACTACTACAAGGTAGGAACAACTTAGCCAGTACTCGAAGCAGCAGGTGGTAAAAATCTGAAATGATAATATATCTCTTTTATATTTCATTACAGTGAAGTTTCAAGAAGCAATTTTCCTTGATGCCTTCTAGGTGTCCAAAGTGTTGTGGTTGCGACAAACAAATTCACATGGACTACAGAAGTCCTGTGGAGAAAAGGGATGTTATAAGTGAGAGCATGTGCTGACTCTTGCCTTGACAGGCTTTTTTTGCTTTCTAGTAGCATTACATCAAGGGAGGTCCTCATTCATTATGCATAGGTTTGCTTTAGGTGATTACCTTTTACAGATAACAAAGAAAAGGATGTTGCAAATGCAAGGGAAAAAGTGGTTGAATGGGTTACACTCTGACCTTAGGAGGTTTAGCACAGACTTTAGGAAGTTACTTCAAAGATATGCATTAAACATTTTCTGTCTTAACTTAGGGAAAGGGAGTTTTAGCAAAAGCAAGCCTTAAAGCAGCTTAGCTATAATGCAGGCCTGCTCCCCCATAGGAAAGATGATGTGTGGGCCTGGCTCCTGTGTGCCACCTCGTACCTGTTGGTTTTCTGAACCAGGGCTGAGCTACATTCACCATTGCCATGTGGACCAGTTTCCTATATTCCCTATTTTAAAATAACTATGTCAAAAATGTTCTTGTTAAGTTTTGATTTATTGTTAAAAATGGAAATACTCTAATATATCACAATTTTAGATTTATTCAGAATAATACTCTCCAAACTTTGTTCATTGGAACAATAGGGAATCAACAGTTTAGTATTAGAAAGAGAAATCAAGGAAACAACCTCATTTATAGTTACATCAAAAGAAATAAAATATGTAGGAATAAATTTAACCAAGGAGGTGAAAGACCTGTACTCAATGAAATAATACTTCATACCTGTCAGAATGGCTGTGGTCAGATGATAAGAAATAGTAAGTGTTGGAGAGGATGTGGAGAAGAGGGAACATTTGTGCACTATTGGGTGGAATCTATATTGGTGCAGCCCCTATGGAAAGTACTATGGTAGCTCCTCAAAAAACTAGGAATAGAGTTGCCATACAACCTAGCAATCCCACTTCTGCATATTTTTCTGAAGGAAATAAAATCACTATCTCTAAGAGGCCTATACATCTCATGTTCACTGCAGCATTATTTACAATGGCCAAAATTTGCAAACAACCTGAATATCTACCAGTGGATAAATATATAAAACACATACACACACTTCTCAGCTTTTAAAAAGAAGGAAATGCTGCCATTTGCAACAACATAGATGAAACTTGAAAGCGTTATGCTGAGTGAAATAAGTCAGACACAAAAAGACTAATATGCTATCATCTCACTTATATGGGGAATCCAAAAAATAAAATGCACACATTGAAACAAAGTAGATTGTGGGGGAGGGAAATGGTGGAGGGGGTCAAAGGGTACAAGAGTAAGTTCTGGGATCCAATGCATGGTGATTATAATTAACAGTACTGTGTTATATACTTGGAAGTTAACAAGAGAGTAGATATTAAATTTTTTTTACCGTAACAACAACAAGAATGGTAATCATGTCTGGTGAAGGATGTGTTAGCTAATGTTATTGCTGTAAACAGTTCACAATATATCTGTGCATCAAATTATCACAATGTATAAAAAGCTAAAAGCTATGTAAGAACCTGCAAGAGACTGAACACTCAGAGAAAATGGTGACATGGAGGATTTTTCTTAAGAAATCAGAAACAATGAGATGGAAAAGAATAAAAAGTTGAAGAGGATTAAAGAGAAACGATAGCAAAGGAAGCAGCTGAGCGTGGACCCCAGAGATCTGTACATGCCACACCTGAACTTTGCAGCACCAGCCTGTGAGCCACACATCCTTTGATACAGCAGCTCCTCACAAATGCCTGACATCCCAGGCAGATACAGGCACACTATGTTTTATTGCACTTTGGAGACAGTGTGTCTTCTGCAGATTAAAGGTTTGTGGCAACCATGTGTTGCGCAAGTCTTTGAGCACAATTTTTCCAACAGCTTTTGCTCACTATGTGTCTCTGGGTCACATTTTGGTGATTCTTGGCAATATGTCAAACTCTCTCATTATTTTGTTATGTTGATCTATAATCAGTAATATTTGATATTACTATTATAATTGCTTTGGGGTGAGATGAACTGTACTCATATAAGATAGAAACCTTAATAAATGTGTGTTCTGATTGTCCCAGTGACCAGCCTTCCCCTCTCTCATTCCTTCTCCCTGGCCCTTCCTACACCCTGAGACACAACAATATTGAAATTAGGCCTATTATTAACCCTACAATGGCCTCTATAGCTGTCATTAATAATGATTCCTCTGAGGGATCTGGGCAAAGTATTGGGTTGGCCAAAAAGTTCATTTAGTTTTTTTCCATAGGATGGTTCTAGTAGTGCTTAGCTGTCTTTAACTTCATTCAAAACAATTTTGTTGGATTATATTGTGACAGCTGTCATATGCATTTAAAAGAAAACATCAAAATTGGTGAATTTTTGTAGTCATTTTAATATTGAAGATGGAAGAAAACATGCAACATTTTCAGTGTATTATGCTTTATTATTTTAAGAAAAGTAAAAATGCAGCTAAAACACAAAAAAATTGTGCAGTGTATGGAGAAGGTGCTGTGACTGAATGAATATGTCAAAAGTGGCTTGCGGAGTTTCTTGGTACTGTTGACATTTTGGCCAAATAATTCTTTGCTGTGGGGCTGTCTTATGCATTGGAAGATATTTAGCAGCACTCCTGCCCTCTACCCACTAGAAGCCAGTAGCAGAAGGTAGTCAGCATACTCAAAATATACAAATCAGTAAAGTTATTAGTGAAAGTGAAAAATGCATCTTTTATTTTATGGAAAAAAAAACTAAATGGACTTTTTGGCCAACACAATAAATTGAAAACCTTCTGAAAAGGATTCCCCATTCTAGATGCCTCTAAGAACATTTATGACTCATAAGAAGTCAATGTGTCAACCTTCATAGGAGTCTGGAAGAAGTTGATTGGAGGACTTTGAGGTTCAAGGCCTCAGTGAAGGCAGTAACTGCAGGTGATCTAGAAATTGCAAGAGAACTAGAATTACAAGTGGAGCCTGAAGATGTGCCTGAACTGCTTCCATGTTATGATAAAACTTTTAAGGGATGAGGAGTTGTGTCTCATAAATGAGCAAAGAAAGTGGTTTCTTGAGATGGAATTGACTGCTGGTGAAGAGACAACAAAGGATTTATAATATTACATAAACTTAAGTTGGTAAAGCAGTGGCCAGGTCTGAGAGAATTGATGCCAATATTGAAAGAAGTTCTACTGTGGGTAAAATACTATCTCACAGCATCCCGTGCTACAGAGCAATCATTCATGAAAGGGAGAGTCAATCAATGCATTGAACTTCACTGTTATCTTATTTTAAGAAATTGACACAGCCCACCTCCAACCTTTAGCAACTCTGATCAGTCAGCAGCCACTAGCATTAAGGCAAGACTTTCCACCAGCAACAATTATGACTTGCTGAAGCATTTTTTAGCAATAGAGTATTTTTTAATTAAAGTATGTGCATGTTTTTTTAGACTTAATACTGTTGCACACCTAATAGACTAGTATAGTGTAAATATAACTTTTATATTCACTGGGAAACCAAAAAAATTGTGTGACTCACTTTATTGTGGCAATCTGTAACTGAACTCACAGTGTCTTCAAGGTCTGCCTCTGTGCACTGTCAGTAATGTCTAGCATGATGTGTAATAACAAAACTCAGGAAACCACTTGATGGCCTCTCAGTAGGAGACTGGTTAAATTAGTTATAGAAGATTTACCTGAAGCATACAATTAGCTCTTCTGAAATCAACTTTATTTACATATACTGACATAGAAATATATCTAAGATTCATGGCTAAGTAGAAAAATTAAAAAGAACAAAAAGAGTATGCCTCTAATTTTATTATTCTCCTAAAAGTATATATTTTCTATTTATACTTGTATATGCATTTTTCTGGAAGGATCCAAGAAAAGCTATCAAATGCAGTTATCTCTATAGACAAGAATTTGGAGTTGGTGGTGGGCAGAGACTGATCTTTCATCACATTTAAGATTTGTCAAAGGTTTATTTTTTTATCAGTTCAAAGTTCAGAATAAACTTGAAATAACACCCATGACTATATTGTTCACAATTTTAGAAATCAAAATCTATAAATAACACATAATGTGAATGAGACACAGGTACAATCAGTTTGTCACAAGGAGAACTACCATGACACTTAGGTCTCTGCTTGATGTCCCAAGTTGCCCTCTCCTAACACACCTCAGGGCAATTCATGTCCCTCCCCCTGCTTTGGGAGACTTCGCCCAGATCACAGTGACATTCGCAGGGGGCAGGCAAGACTTTCCTTTGGAACCCCAAGCTCCAAAGGAAAGGGTTTTGGTAGGCATGATTTTGATCTTTTTACTAACACTTTTGAAATTAGTTTAAACCAGTTTAAAATGATACCAGTAAACAGTCTATGCCCAAGTAATTTGTGTTGGCTTAAAACTGTAGACAAGTACACTTAAAAACAGTCCAATGCTTCTTGGAGCATAATCATGACATAATATTCAGGCTTCAACAACACAACAAGCTCCATGAAATGTGAGTGGCAAAAGGAAGAGGTGAGAGAAAATAACTGAAAGATAGAAGAAATTTGATCTGAATCTTTTAAAGGATGGATTTAAAATTTAAGATTTTAGGATTTAATCATATGTTTAAGATTCAGACCCAATACTTACACATGTGCACATACACTGGCATTTTGTGAGTCATGATTTTATTCTTTTTTCTAATTGTGATAAAATATACTTAACATAAATTTTACCATCTTAACTACTTTCAAGATCACAGTTCAGTCCTGACTGGTGTGGCTCAGTGAGTTGGTCATCGTCCTGCAAACCCAAAAGGTCTCCGGTTCTATTCCTGGTCAGGGCACATACCTGGGTTGCTGACCAGGTCCCTCCTTGGGGGCGTGTGAGAAGCAACAGACCCATGTTTCTCTCTTACATCAATGTTTCTCTCCCTCTCTTCCTGCCTCCCTCCCCCTCTCTTCCTGCCTCCCTCCCTCTCTCTCTAAAAATAAAGTATTTTTAAAGAAAGAATAGTTTAGCAGTATTAAAAACATTCACATTGTTTATAGCCAATCTCCAGAATTATTTTCATCTTACCAACTGAAACTATAATCATTAAGCACTAATTCCTTATTCCTCCCTCTTTACCCAGCCCCTAGGGACCCTTATTCTACTTTCTGTCTCTATGAATTGAACTACTGTAGGGCCCACAGATGAGTATCACACAGTATTTGTCCTTCTGTGACTAAATTGGCTTATTTCACTCGGCATTATGAAAGACAACCTCACAGTTCCTCCATGTTGGTCAATGTGTCAGAACCCTCTTCCTTTGTAGGGCTGAATGACATCCCATTGTACGAGTTGACCCCATTTTGTTTATTTATTTATGTGTCAGTGGACACTTGTGTTTCTTCCACCTCTTGGCTCTTGTGAATAATGCTGCTATGAACATAGGTGCACACAATTTTGTTCTTAATGGAAGTTCTCTGTTTGCATTGCTTTCAGGCCCAGACCCATGGGAAGTGGCCCGTGAAGTGGTATGCTCCGGAATGTATCAACTACTACAAGTTCTCCAGCAAAAGCGACGTCTGGAGCTTCGGGGTGCTAATGTGGGAAGCATTTTCCTATGGGCAGAAGCCATACCGGGTTAGTCACTACTGTGTCACATCCTAATTAATTATGTGGCCCTCAGAATGGAGAAGCACCGATTATCATGGCAGCACTCTGAAAATCATAATCAGGGCATTCTTCTTGAGTCTTTGGCTGTCTTTTGACAGTGGGCAGCTAATATGGCCTCAGTTTATTCACAACTGCAAAAGAAATATTTTTTTTCCAGAAGAGGGATTGCTGGGTCATACGGTAACTCTATTCTTAAGTTTCTGAGGAAGCCCCATACTGTTTTCCACAGTGGGTGTACCAGAGAAATATTTCATGATAACTGAAGAGTGTGTCTTTTTTTCACTGTATATGACACATGTAGATATATATAAGATATAACCAAATCAGCATTAAAGTTGAAGTAGAAATAATGGCTATTTCCAGTATCAAATTGGGAGCTCATTACATTTTTTAGATTTTTTTTCATCAAAATACACATACCAAAAAATGCACAAATGCTTGTTGAACCTTCCCAGATGGGACACACCCATGAAACCAGCCCCCAGAGCAAGAAAACAGAACCCCAAATCCTCTGCCTCCTGCACGCATGCCTCCCTGCAGGGGCAACCTTATCTAACTTCTAGGTCATAGTTTAGGTGCTGCTGTTTTTGTACTTTTTATAATTGACATCACACTTCATGTACTCTTTTGTTTCTTTCGAGAGAGTGGGATGTATTTATTGCTTTGTTTTGCTGAATACTATGTTTAAAAAGCTAAGGTATATTTTGCATGTTTTAGGGGATGAAAGGAAGTGAAGTTTCTGCTATGCTGGAGAAAGGAGAGAGGATGGGGTGCCCCCCAGGGTGTCCGAGAGAGATGTATGATCTGATGAACCTGTGTTGGACGTATGAGTGAGTACTGCCCCTTCCTGTGATTTATCCAGACACTCTGTTTTCAGTCTAAAAAATAAGTTTAGACAACTACTCTAATTTCAGGATGTCGAAATTTAAATGTATATAATATTGGCCAGGGTGGTAGGGTGGTCAAAGTAGAAAGATGTTCCTAAGAGTCTGGTCCAGTGCTGTGTACAATTTTTGGTGACAGAGGATGGCAGAAGCACTTAGAGGGAAATGTCTGCTTTCCTAATTCTGACCACCTTTCCGAGTGAGGCACAACCACAGATGTTGGCTGGCTCACAGATGAATTGGCCTAGGTAGCACTTCCGAGAAGTGACTCGGACCTGGGAACAGTAGCCCTCAGAGTCTACCCTAAGCACTCTAATGCATCCTGCCTGGAGCATACCTGAGCTTATGAAAAAAAAAGTTCAGCAGGCAAGGAAAACCCATCACACCTGGGAATCAGGGACTTTGCCCTGGTGGGGCAGCCTGTGAGTGCATTGTGGGGGCCCCAAGCCGTGGTCTCTGTACCTCTGGTGTTGCCTTGTGGAGCTTGGCAACACTATAGGTCTGTCACTGGGAGGAGCTCATATCCTTGCAATAGATTTTAATACTTTGGGGATCAGTTTTGCTCTGAGGTATAACAGCTAGAAATGCAGGAGGATACCAAGAATGAAGGATAGTGCCAACAATCTCAGATGCCACTTGGGATTCTACCACACCATAGGGAGTACTCTTCACCCAGCACAGTTGGGAGTGCAAATAAAAGATCTCATTATTGTCTAGAAGCAACATGGTGAGCCCCAAAAAGAGGACAGATATGTCCAGTTGCTGGTGCTGACCCTTTCAGAGAAAGCCCCTTTCTGTAGCAAAGGTACCCATCTGGAACCTGGGGAGCTTCCTGAACCCAGACTATCAGAGTGGCAGCAGGAGAGAAAGGCTAGAGATAGATTGTAGAAGGCGGGTGTCCAGTCTTTGAAGTCTTGACTAACTCCCACATCACCATCCCCAGTGCCCAAACTGGAATTACAAGAATCAGTGACAGGTAGGTCCCAGCTATTTTCAAAATGGAAATGAAAGGTCTAGCCTAGAAATTGTGGTTGGGGTGGCATCATATAGGAAACAGAAGACAAATGACCCCCTTAGTGATGTTACAGGCCTTGATACAGACCTTGACCTTGTCACCTTGCACCTGTGCTGAATCAAACTCCAGCTGTCTTGCTTTGAGGCACCTCTGAAAGGCAGGAGCGGGAGGACAGAGCACCTCTGAGACTTTCCCAGAACCCTCGAATGAGGGCAGACTGGCAATCTCCTCTTTATAGTGCCTGTTCCTGCAAAACTGCTGAAGACAGCACAGGCCTTCCTGGCTTTAGTAGGTATTATGCACCATGCACCCCGCCAAGTTTGGGGGACCTGGTGGCCAGTGAGGCACCATGGGGAGCAGAACAGACCCTCAGGTCAGGAGATGTGTGAAGCCCTAGGGAGGGTACACCCTTGGGTAGTTCTTCTGCTTGCCTGCAGCTTCATTTGGAAGATTTCACTTCCTCTGAGAAACATGAACTTTAAATCATTCTGAAAAAAGTGAAAATAACTAGAATTAAAATGAACTGTCAGGGAGACAGTTGAAGTTAGGTTTTGCTCTTAATGTGAACACTGACATGTTTATTTCTGTCTGCTGTTCTTTATGGTGGATGCTGGCTGACCAGTGAGGAGGGGAGGAGTGGGCAAAGGAGGGGACTCAGGGCTGCAGGAAAGGTGTTAGGCAGTGTGCCGGGCAGAGTGAACCATGTTAGGAGCTGTGAACCATGGTAGGAAGAATGATGTACCCAAGACACACCCCTACTTGGTTGGGTGGCCGTGGTGAATACTGATAGCACTGGAGCATTCTTCATGGGATAGGATTCCAGACGACGTCTGCCCACCTGCCTTCGTCCTCAGAGACACACACAGCTCTTGGTGCTGTTATTGCCAGGATGGCCCATGAGGGGAGGATGAAGGAAACAGTTCTTGGTATTCACTGGAGGTGGAGCGAGGTAGAATGCTCCTCTTTCAGAAAACACTTTCTCAGTTTCTTTTCCCACCTGGAGGTTTAAGTCACAGCCTGAGTAAGGTGTACAGGCAGTGCTATCTTTCCCATCACCTCCAACCCCAGGAATGCTTTCCAGTGAGTTCTACATGGATGTCTAGGAATTAGCAACAGTGTTTAAGTATCAGTGGAATAGAAAAAGTGGCTGTGGACCATGCCTAAAATTATGAATGACAACTCCTTATCAAACTTTCTTTTTCCAATAAGCTATATTTCTGAGGGTTAAAGGTTTTCTAGTAATGGCCTGGAATGTTGGGGGCCATCCAGGGAGACAGTCAGAGACAGTCTTAATGTAAGTAGTTAAATGATGTAAAGTTGAATAGGAAAAAAGAACAAAACATTTTGGGGGGCATGGCCACAAGGAGTACTCAAAAGCACCAGGAGCTGGTCTGACAACCCAGGGAAATAACCTCAGCAAACCTCACAGAGACCCCAACTAGGTCCCCTGTAGGAATCTGCAGTTGCAGAAGGGGCAGCAGGCAATAAGTGGTAAGCTATAAAATAAGTGCATTCTGTTGTGTGTTCTTGGAAGGAGACAAGCCCAGTGGCAATTCAAAGCCAGAGGACATAGGGCCTGGAGACTGCTGCACATATGTGTGAGGACCTCTCATATGCAGGTAGTCATTTGCAGAAGGAAATGAAATAGTTGCCTGGTACATGGAAACATGTGGAAACATGTGGGAAAATGTGGATTCCAGAACCTGGTGGATTCAGTGAAGCAAACACAAATGATCCTTGTATAGTCTCCAAGTTTTCCTCCATTGTAAATAGTCAGCCACCTTTACCAAGGTGATAGATTTTTAGATAGACAGGTAGATAGGAAGGTAGATGGATATATAGAATATATATACATACACATATACATACATAGTAGAAAGAGGAAAGGAAGGAGGGAGAGAGGCATGGAGAGTAAATGGATGGATGGATAGATCCATTGATTGATCATCATCATGGTTGGATAGAAAATAGGTAGATAGATAATCTACCTATCATCATATCCATCATGGTTGGATAGAAAATAGGTAGATAGTTAAATAGATCTATAGATAATAGGTAGATAAATGATAGATCCATCTATCAATACATGATAGATAGATGAATGGGGGCACTGATGGATAGGTGGGCAGGTAGGATAGATAATAAATGTTTAGACAGAAAGACATATACATATATACATTTAGATTTATCAGTGAAATACCTATTGACTGACCTCCAGTTAGTGAGGGCAATCAGTAGGTATGAATAAGCAGCAGTTGACACTTCCCTCATGGAGGTCACAATTTTAGACTGGATGTTATTAAACATGAAACAAATTAACCCCCATATGCTCATATGATGGCATATTGCAGCGCGGGCAACAGAGCAAACCATGGGGAATTCTGGATGGGAATAGAGGACCATGGGGGTCATATTACTGTTAGGGTCCATATTGGCCTCCTTTGGAAGGACTTTTCCACCTGAAAACTGCTGGTTGGGGAGCATGGGTGCAGGAAATGAGGAGAAGGGGTACACTGGGCACAAGAGGAAGTGTGGAAAAGCATTCTGGGCCGGGTGGGCAGAAGCAACCTACCACAAGGCACTTAGGCACCTCCTCTGCTCAAGCTCAAGGTCATCCTAAGTTCCTCATGGTAGCCTCACCTATGGAGTAAAGGAGAGGTTCCATAAGACACCTGTCCAGGTGTCTTCCCTGAGGCCCTGTCTGTATTCCTGTTTCTCTGCATTAGTTTTCTTGGTGCTCAGCTGCTGGATGAATAAAACAGGCACAGCAAGATTCAGACAGGCTCTTTGTGCATTCAGGTCCCTGTGGTTGGAGTTTGTGCTCTCTTTGTAGCAGGACTAAGGCTGTTTCTCAGCGTGTACACAGCTTTCTATGTATATTTCTGTACCCCAGGGCTCGGCCATTACATTCCCTCCTAGAATACAACTTGGCATCCAGATACACACGCCCCCCACAGTGAGATCTAAGTCACCAGCCATGACCACAGATGGCTGATTTTTGTCAAGCAGTTTTTGCATGTTCTTGAAAGCTGTAGATTCTCAAATAGGATCGTTTTGTTGTGACACTGATAAGATGCCATGGGAACCTAACTCTTACATATATCAATTAGCCAGTGTTCAAATTGGTTTCATTATGTGTTGTTTTGCCTAAAGTCATGGAACCTTTTGAGGACTTACTATATTTTGATGCCATCTGACAAAAAAAAAGAAAACATTTTGCTTCTGAAGAAACCACTCTGCCCTTACATTGGTGAGTGATTCCGAGGCCTCTTGCATACTCCCAGGCTGTTCTCTCGAGCCTTATAATATTGTAGTTTTAGATCAAAGAGGTTGAATGTGGACAGTTCAAAGTTTGACCTCCAGTTCTGTTTCACTTGTTGGGCAATTATATCCACTTGCAATAGCCAAAAATTGGAGGAAAATAAGAAAACTTATTTCCAAACAATGATAGATTCTTAGAGTTTTAAGAAATACTTGCTTATGACAGATCCAATTCAAAGATGTCTGTAAAAGTTTGTTTAGAGATTGCAAATTGTGAAAAACTTTTTCCCATAGTTTACTTACATTGTTCCCTCCCCTGAGAAGTGACAAGAAAAGTGAGGTCTTGCTGTGTTAAGATGTATAATAGACATGCCTGTATCCTTGCTTCTGCCATGACAGGTTTTAAGTTTTAATAAGAACCCATACGGGGGCAACTATAATAGAATAGCAATAAAATATTTTTAAAAATAAAAAAACTCACAACAGCACATTTTCAGAAGTCCAGAGCCATCCAGTTGGGGTACAGAGAGGGAAAGTTTAAACTGTGTCTATTTTTTTTTCTTAACAAGGTTATAAATCGTACATTAAGGGTATGTCTGCAGCATATTGACCAGTTAAGTATTTCAGACACATCTGTTTTGCTAGATCACAAGGAGACAATCTCTGGGTTAAAAGGTCCAGACTTTGAATGCAAAATTTCTTTAAGGGGGACAGGAGTCACCTGGGGTCTTGCTGAATGCACATGGGGTTCTGTAGGTCTGGCATGGTCCTGACGCTGAATTCTGCACAGGCTTCTGGTAACCCCGGGGCTGGGGTGCAGACACATGCTATGAACTGCAGGCTTTAGAGGAGGCCACCAGAGGGCGCAGCCATTCGCACTCGCCCTGGAAAGGCTCCAGGGGTGAGTATGTTTTTTTTCTCCAGTGTGATGACGAATATTAATGCATGTCTTCCCTTTCTAGCGTGGAGAACAGACCCGGATTTGCAGCGGTGGAACTGCGGCTGCGCAATTTCTACTATGACGTGGTGAACTAAGACTCGTGGGCCTGTTTGTGCAGCCTCTGAGCAAATGAGTCATCACAGGCAAACTTACTACAATGCATGGATTTTGAGTCTCCACCTCCCACAGCCCACTGGAAGAGCCACTCTCACAGGCACTTACCTGTGACTCTGGTTCCCCAAAGCCTGTGGGACAACATACCCTCCATAGAACAAACCTGCTGGGAGGAGCTGTGGGAGAAAGACAGACAAGAGGGTCAACAGAAACTGTGAATTCCTTTGTGCTTCTTGTCTGAGTGGTTTTCATGGCAGGTTCTTTTCAGGATCTGTTTTCAGCTTTCCTTACTATCTTTTCAGTTCTCTGGCTCCTGGGCTGCTCTGACCCCCACCCCCACAGCCTGGAGATATCGCCATGTGGTATCCAGCCACTGGTCTTGCATTGTCAGCGCCCAGCGGGCACAATGACACCTATGATCCCTGCAATGGAGGACTAGAAGGGAGAGGACAAGGGGATTTGGCTTAAATGGGCCTTGTGACTGGCCTTGCCCCTGAAAAGCTTTCCTAATGGTAAAAGTGCCTCGAGGCTTAAAAATTAAGTTCTACCAGTGCGGCTTCTAAGGTGTAGCCAGTTAAAGGGAATGAAGTCTGGATACTGCTTTTGCTCTGTGTGTTCTGAGCCAGAGTCTTGTGTCTGCATGAAAAGTGTGGCCTGCTGGAAGGACTGGCTTACTGGCCCCCTGAAAGCCTCTCTCCTGCAGACTCTCTGAAGACTGTGCCTGACTGGAGATCCTGCAGGAGAAAGGATGTCCATCATCTTGAGCACGTGGCAGACAGACAGTAGGGCGCTGTGGGCTGTTGCTGTCGTGTAGTTAGTGTGGCTCTGCTTCCTCTTCCTTGAAGAAAGGGTACAGACAGACTTCCTATCTTTTTCTGTATTCACAAAGAGACACCCTGGTGGCCAAGGGCATGTAAAGATGAGTTTGTGAAGAAAGTGTTAATTCATAATAAAGTCACAGACCCTGATGCTCCCACAAGTAGGCTTTATCGAGTGTGATGTGGGGGTGAAAATACAAAACTCAAGACTTATTTTCTAGTCTCCTAGTCTTAGTTAATCTTCAACTAATGTCTGATCTTACACAAGTCATCCGACCACTGATAATCAGTTTTGCTGTGGCCCCTCAAAATTAGAGCTATTTAGACATCATTCTTAGGTCAGTCAAGTAATAAACTTGGACCATCTGGAATTCAGCTATGCCTAAGACAGTTTAAAGTGTACTTCCAGCCCATGAACACGAGAGGAGGCCCTGCTCCTAACAGAGGGAAGCTAGACATGGAGAAAGCAGCAGTCAGCATGCTTGCTTGGCCAGAATAAGACACCACTTGCTCACAGAACTTCTGTTAAGAAACTTTTAGAAACCATCCATGCCTTTTAGAATTGTGCTACCTGGTGGGTTAATAGTTTTGTTAAGTGGAGATTCTGTGTGTGTTGAGCAGATACTCAAAACAGTAGCACTACACATTTAGACTCCCCCAAATTAAAAAGATTAATGACAGCCCTGGCTGCTGTGGCTCAGTGAGTTGAGTGCCAGCCAGCAAACCAAAGGGTCACTGGTTCAATTCCCAGTCAGGGCACATGCCTGGGTTGCAGACCAAGTCCCAGGTTGCACAAGAGGCAATCACACATTAATGTTTCCCTCCTTTTTCTACCTTCCCCTCTAAAAATAAGTAAAATTAATCTTTTAAAAAAAGATTAATGACAGTCTCTGGTCAGATGACATGTAGATTTAGAACCCTAAAGGGAAGGATTGCACACATTGGTGATGGCATCTAAGAAAATGGGTGTACTGTTGACTCCTGGTGTCTTCCCTCTTCTGTCCCCAGAGTGGTGTCTGTGGGAAAGGCCACACTGGCAGGAATCTGGGGGCATACATTGAGCTCCCTCCTGGGAGTATTTCCCTCACTCTCCAGCAGCTTTCTGCCACTCCCAAAACTCTGGTGATGAAGACCATCTAGAATGTGAGTTGGCAATAGGGAAGAGGGGCCTGGCTCCCCCAGAAACCTAGCCTACAAGCTGTGGGTGCCCCTGTCCTCCCCTGTGACTTCCTGGTGGCATGGGGTGTTCCTGTGTGTAGAATTACCACTGTGGCAGTGTGTGGAAGTCTTTCCAGTGAAAATATGTGCTTTCTCCAGAGGAGGGCACAGAGGGAAAGGCAACTTCACTGAAGAAGGACTTAAAATGTGAATGAGCCAACTTTGGAAGGTAAAGACTTCGTAGGGGCATTTAGCTTATACTTGATTGTCACATGGGTGCTGCCCTTCTTGTGGCTCTAGCCATGTCTTTACATGAGTCTGGGCTTTACATGGGTCATGTGCCTTCACCTTCTGATCCTCGTTTAGTGGGAACACCAGAGCATTGTGGACAGATATGCTGCCCTGGCCAGGCCAGCACCAATTGACTGCTGAGGCTATGACCTTGACCCCTAGTGGGATCAAAATTTTTCATAACAGAAACATAGTCTATCCTGTGGTTAAAATAATCATGTGTGTTTCATTGGAGCATGTCCTTCCCCATACTTGGTGTCACCAGCCTTGCTTTTATTTTTTGGATGTTGACTTCACATTTACAACAACCAGCCCAAGGACTGTGTTCCACCCAGATTTTCACACACAGGGGTGACCACTGGATTTTCAGCCCCTCACCCCTAACCTCCCAAAGAGCACACTTGACCAGTTAAGCAGTATCCTCCTTCTATTCCAGAAGACCTACTTTTTGTCACTGGACTTCTTTAAAACTATAATTATTAATAAAAGTTTAAATTGTGATCATTTTCATGGACATTATTAATGTGATAGCTCACTCTGTCACATAAACAGTGTTAAGTAGCATTGTCAAAGCAGTGTTTGTTTTTAAATACATCCCAGCCATTTCCTGACATGATGGATGTATGTAGTCCCCTCAGAGCTGGTCTGCAAGCTTCTGCCACCAGCCTGGGCTTTACATGGGTCATGTGCCTTCACCTTCTGATCCTCGTTTAGTGGGAACACCAGAGCATTGTGGACAGATATGCTGCCCTGGCCAGGCCAGCACCAATTGACTGCTGAGGCTATGACCTTGACCCCTAGTGGGAAAGGGAAAGGGAAAGGCTGGTCGAGGAGGGCCCTGGTCACTAGAGCCCTCCACTCATGAGCATGGGATCTGCCCAGGAGAGCCTGACAGCTCAAGTTGTACTCTAATGGAAGGTGACTGATGGGACCCAGTAATGCCAGAGGGCCCAAAACAGGACTGTAGGTTATGAGCTTTCCTTTGCTTTGTGAAGATGGCATACAGAGTGCTGGGACAGTCTGGGAAAGAATTCCAGAGCTTCCATCACCTCCTTTAAAAGAGATTACACACACATGCCCACATACTCACATGTGTACAAATACCATGTGTACACACACACACCACACTGAACCTTATTTCAGAGAACAACTTAAATGCCAATGTGGGGCATTTGTCCTGCCTGGGAGCATGTGCTAGTGGCTGTACTCATTTCTCTTCCGTCCACTCTGTGCCTGGTCACCAGTTCCTCCCAATCCCAGGCCCATTGGGGGCCCCCTGGCCCCGAGGGGCAGAAGTTTGGAGGAGACCTGGGTTGGCTGGCCTCACACTCCCATTGGGAGCCCTGAAACTGGGACAGCACTGAAGTAGGAATGACACAGGCTGCCAGACAGCCACCTGGCACACAGCTCCTAGAGCAGTGAGAGCACGTGTTCGACGTGGAGTACAATACAGACAGCTGGGCTTCCAGCACTGATCTGGATGAGTCACAGGAATTCAGCCTCAATCTGCACAATTGCAGGTGGAGGGTATCTATCAACCCGTACTGATAAATGCAAGGCCGGGAACAGAAAGCTGGGGCCATATTCTCACAATGTCAGTAGGAGCCTCGGTCTGGACCCCAAGGCCACTGGTGGTCTAGCCAGTAGGATTCTGCAGGCCAGCAGATGGCACCATGAGATGGCTCAGGAGAGGAGCTGACCTTGGACTTTGGAACGTTCAACCCCTGAGAGGGGCAGAAACCACCACTGTTCTATACATGGTGATCACGGGAATCAGTAAAATGAGGTGGGTTTAGCATACAGTGAGCTCGGGCACAGGGAGATATTAAGACCAATGCTTGTCTTTCCAAGGTTAAGAAGATGTCAGTACTCATAAACATGTTCTTCCCAGCAAGGAAGGAAACATTTTGAAAGAGCCAGAATGAGATTTTGCTCTTCCTAATTCTCTTTCAGTTTGGGATCTTCTGCTTTAGGTGGCGCTTGCTTCTTTCTTGCCATGGGCTTGTTGTCTTAGGATAGAAATTCGTGCCTGCTTCAGGGACAGCCAGTCCCTTAAATCAGGGCATTTTCTTAGGTATGAGCCCAGCAGAGGCCCTTAGGCCCCTGCCCTAGTCCTCTTCCTTTCTGCTCAAAGAGAAGCCCAAACACTACCTCACAGGTGTCTTCCAGTGAACGTGAGTGAAGAGGACAGAACCAAGCTGTGCAAGCAACAGGCTCCCTAATCAAATAACTCCAAGGGCCTTCCAACTAGGGTCTCAGTGCCCATTACCCACAGAATTCCAGGAGTCTTGCAACAAAGACTTTTGTTCACATTTTGCTACCTTAACATTTGCCTGACTTCTTCAACCACAGAATCACCATTTTGCTCAATGTCTATTAGCAAGACGGACTGATTTCCTTACACACTATGACACACCTCACTTAACTGCCCATGAAAGAGGGATCTCTACATTGGGAAGGACACTGGGAGCTTCTGGGAAAGTAATACTGTCCTGTCCTTGAACTCAGCCAAGGAAACAAATGGAAACTGCTTATCCATTAGCTGAAAACCCAGCACATCAGGTTCTCAGCCATTGATTGTTTTGCATATTATGTACCCCCCTTCTCTCATGTCCCCACACAAACACACACATACAATAAATTTTTTCTTTAAAAGAAGAAAATACGATAGCACTGTGATATAGCAGGGCCACCCAGGGCATTTGTTTCATTAAAAAGAGCTCTTTTTAAGGCCAGTTACTTACTATTTTGTAGTTTTACAATATTAACCCGGAGGAAGAAAGAGCACTTCTCCAGAGCCACCATCCCTCAGTTCAGTGGACATCCACTTGGACACCAGCATGGCAAGTGCTGCTGTTCAGCACACTCCACACTTGTCTTCACTCACTCCTGATGCTGCTGCCTGTGGAAACTTCTTCCACATGATCATGAGGAAAGCATTCCACAGACCCACGCACGGGAGACTGTGGTGTGGCAAGATTTACTCAAATGGTAATAGAAACCTTCCCCTGATTTCCAATGTCCCATCTCCGTCCATCCCACCATGGAAAAAGTCCAATTTTGTCCTTATCAAGGCCACAATAAAGCCTAGGGTCCAGAGTTTCTGTTTCATATTGCAGCTTAGTCCTTTGGAGCCCACATGGTCTGACAGGCCCCAGGCAGTGCTGCTGCACCCCTGTGGTTGCTGTGGAGAGAACAAGTAAATGAATGGGGCCAGAATGTGTTACTGGTGAGAGAGAAGGCCTTTGTTCCCTGAAATTATGTTAGGCTTGGGAAGGACCAGGTGCTTTTTCAAAATACCCAATCAATTTCTCAAGCTTTTACAGGCTTTTAATGGGTCCACCCACTACAACAAATCTATTTCCTTCTATGGTCAAATTTTGGCTCCTAATGTGCATGTACTCCCCCCCACCTGCTCCCCCCAACAATCCAGTACTAGATGGTGGGCTGCTCCCCACCTAGGGGGAGGAATGGGTGTTAATCCCCTTGGAGAGACAATGCTGCAGTCCCCTGAAGAGTATGAGGCTATAGCTTCCTGGTGAAGCAAGCTGTCTCCTTAATAGCTGATTCCCTTTGCTCCCTTCTTTTATTAATAACTAGCTACCTCCACTAACAGTGGGGCATCTGCTAACCAGGTAATGCTGTCAGCTCATGCGTTACTCAGCTGGGGACATTTCCAGGAGCTATTTTTCTCAGTAGGTGTAATTGAGCCAAAGTCATGAGTCATAAGACTTCATGCCTTTGCAATCTTTCAGGGCTTTGAATGACTGTTTTCCATGACTGTCATTAAACCGTAGAACAATGAGTGAAAAATGCATGTTGTTTGTAACAACTCTTCCTCGTTTATACAAAGACCCAGTGTCTGGGACTGTTTTTTTCTCCACAGCTTTTATTGAATGACATTGTGATTTTCTATAAGTCACAGAGGTGTAAACACTCCTTCCCTGCTCTGGGCCACAGGAGAGGCCTGGGCCTCACAAGGAGTGAACAGCTAAGGAAACATATCAAGAAAATCATTTTGCTAAGTTCATGTCCTTATCAAGTGGATTGTGCCAGAAGACATGATTTCATTGGACGATGCAAGTCACCTGCATGCAATGCTCAGGAAGTTAGTTTTCAATTTCACAATGCAGGCTCCCAGAGATCAAGGGAAGCATCTCCCATGCTGAAAGCTCCTGGAAGGGCATGGCCTCTAGTGCTGAACAGGCCCTATAGCAGCACGCTGCTGCCCTAGAATCCATCAGCTGCTCAGTCGGCCCCCATCCCACCACTTCCCCACTTCTGTCCTGTCAACATTTAACCATGAACAAAAAAGAAAACAAGATGCTTGATGAAGCCAATCCAATTACCTCATATTTGTACTTCGTATGATTATGTGCAGAAAGGAGGTGAGCTAACAACACAGCAGAGCCCAGCAGACCAGGATCTCAGTGAGCTCAGCTCAACCAGAGATGAGGCCGACCTCCTGAAGTGGATGGAGAGCTGAGGGGGTTCCTCTGAGTTAAAGCTCAGCAGTGAACAAATAAGCATTTTAATCAACTTTTTTCTGCAATCAAAATATTTAGACATTTGTTCATTCTGGGACACTCTTAAAGTCAGTAAGATATATGTTCCTTAATGTTCTGCACTTTATACTTGTGCACTAAGTAATGGTCTCCCACAGACTGTTTTCTCATTTATGGTGAGAGAGTACCTTAACGTGCCATTAAGTTCTTTGTATTCAGAGCCCCCACTTCTGTGGATTATAATTTGGAAACACAGGGCCCAATAACTGGTAATGGGGTCTGTACTTTTTTGTAATAATTCCCGTGTGTGTGTGTGTGTGTGTGTGTGTGTGTGTGTGTGACTGTTAAACAGGCATCTTTGTCTTTTTTTCTCAGATCTTCTTGTACTTCTGATACTCCTTCAACATAAACATAACTTTCTACTATTAACCCACTTGGTTCATAGTGTCCCCACTTGCTAGCAGTCATAGCACTTAACCATCCCCAACCTCATCTGGTGGGTCTAGACCTGGGGCATGATGTACTTTTACTTAAATCTTCCTAAGAACCAAGTACTCCCACTCACTTCAATGAAAAATCTGCTTTTCCTGTGCTCATGGAGGACCCCTGCTCTGGGCCCTCAGGGAATGAAGAGGGCAGGGTAGGTGCTGGGCACAGCAGCCTCTTCCACAGCTAGACAAAAGGTGGCACACAGAGAGCAGGAGAGCATGGTTGGCAGGGAGGGCCTTCTTCAGACCCGCAGGTCCTTTCTCAGTGGAACTTGAGCTTTTGCTGTGACTGTCTACTCTTCCCCCAGAAGAAGCCTAACATGCAGAGCAGGCTTTACAGCAAACATTTCATCCCTCACTGGTTCCCTGAGGGGTGAGTGGCCTAAAGGAGGGGCACAGGCTCCACAGTTCCTCATACCCCAGCCAGCCCTGGCCCAAGTGGTCTCAGGCCTTAGGCCACTGGTGACTCTTGGAGACTTCACCAGGAGAGAAAACAGACCATGCCACCTGA